AAAAAAAAAAAAAAAAAAGAAGAGATGGTATGAGTGGAGACACTTTGTAAATAAGTAAGTGCTAGTTTGTTTCTTATTTTACATTTATAGTTAAAGCATTTAGTAGCAGTTCTCAAACTTTTTGTTTTCAGAAACTTTCACACTCTCAATTTACTGAGGGCCCAAACCATTTGGTTTATGTGGGTTATACTTGTCAACACTTAAACATCATAGAAATTAAAATGGATTAATTAAAAATATTATTTTCAAGTAACAATAAGCCCATTACATTTGAATGAAGATAGCATATATTTTTTTTAAATAGCTACATTTTCCAAGACCAAAAAAAGTAAGAAAAGTGGCATTGTTTTACATTTTGCAAATCTTTACCATCTGGCTTAATAGAACTCAATTAAATTCTTATTTCTGCTTCTATATTTGCTCTGTTAAGATATAGTACACATATTTTGGTTAATGAAGGAAATCTCACCCTACCCATATTTGTAGTTGGAAAGCATGTATTTTAATAACTTTTTTAGATAATTATAAATTTTATTCTTTGCTGTTACAAACAAGTAGTAGTTTCTAAAGGTTAGTTGCAACATAGAATGTGAAACCATATCAGCTGACTTTTTATACTCTGTGTTACATTATAATCCACTGGTGTAGTTTTAATGCATCTTTCATTATATTATAGATTATATATGTGCATGATATTGTAACATGATGCATTAGTGATTTGGAAAATATTCATCCATTGAATTGTACTTTTCTTTCCAATGTTGACATATTTTGTTATACAGTATAAGAAAAAAAATCACAATCAGCAAAGCCTTAAATACTAGAAAGCCATTGAGTGGCAGATATAAGTTCTTCAAAATTCTAATTTTTGCTTGAATTTTATCATTGGCAACACGTTTCAAAATACTGTTGGTTGTTTCTCTTTGCAGTAACAGGCACTCTGTTGGTTTCCAAGAAACCCTTTGCCAAATACCTAAATTTGAATGAAGTTCAACTGCTTTTATTGGAGATAATTTTGATATGAAATGCAAGTGCTTTCTGTGTGCTTCCCATTTTGTCACAGGACATTAAGAAGTGCACCAAAAGGTTGAGATTTAATAAAATCAGTGATTTAGTGCCTCATCACAAACATTCATGAGACTTTTTTTTTAGAACTGTAAGTGCATGAAGGTGGAAAAGACCAGTGCTGGTAGTGTCCCTCACACAGTTGGATGCCACCACATTAATTCATGCTAATTTGCCAGCAGTTTTATTCAGTTCTGCTCTAGCATTATCAGTATAAATCTCAGCATAGTGGAAAAGGAAAATAAGGTCTAACTGTTAAGAGAATAGTTCAGATCTTGAAAATCCCATGAAAGGATCTTGGGAACCTCCAGAAGTCTGTGGAGCATACTTTGAGAAATGATTTTTAGTTTGTTTTGGGGTTTGTTTTGTTTTGTTGCAGTTTTGGCTGGGGCCGGGTTTGAACCTGCCACTCCTGGTATATGGGGCCGGCACCCTATTCCTTGAGCCACAGCTGTTGCCCGTTTGGGGGTTTTGTTGTTGTTGTTGTTTGTTTCTTGATAGAGTCTCCCTCTGTCACTTGGGGTAGAGTGCAATGGCATCATCATAGCTCACAGCAACCTCAGACTCCTGGGCTCAAGTGATCTTCTTGCCTCAGCCTCTTGAGTGGCTAGACTACAGGCATGTGCCACTATGCTCGGCTAGTTTTTCTATTTTAGTACAGACAGGTCTTGCTCTTGCTTAGGCTGGTTTGGAACTCCTGAGCTCAACCTGTTGATCTACCAGAATGTTTGGATTATAGGCATGAGTTACTACCCCTGGCCCAAGAACTGTTGATAGAGAGAAATAAAGCATACAACAGCATTCTTAAACACCTTTTAGAAAATAGCACCTTGTGGCTGGGCACAGTGGCTCACGCCTATAATCCTAGCACTCTGGGAAGCCAAGGCAGGTGGATTGCTTGAGCTCAGGAGTTCAAGATCAGTCTGAGCAAGAGCAAGACATCTCTACTAAAAATAGAAAAACTAGCTGGGCCCAGTGGCACATGCTTATAGTCCTAGCTACTTGGGAAGCTAAAGCAAGAGGATAGCTCAAGCCCAAGAGTTTGAGGTTCTTGTGAGCTATAGTACCACAGCACTCAGGGCAGCAGACTCAAAAAAAAGAAGAAGAAGAAAATAGGACCTTTTGTTTAATTTTAATTTTTCAAACCCAGCCCCGGCCAAAACTTCAACAAAAAATAATTTTTGTTGACAGGAGATAGAATTACCTGTGTTACCTTCATAATAGGATTGAATTTTTATAGACTTGGAGTTCCCTTCCTACAAAAAAGGCAGTATGGAGAAGGGAGTAAAAGATGATTAACCATTGTTCATGCTTCACTTATATTGGTTCTTTGCCAAACTTGAGAAAGGGACTAAGGAAAAACAAATTAAAATTTATTTGAATCATTCTGCCTCATAGCCAGCAGTAGCCTAATGCCTGCACTGAAAGGCGATTTTGAAAGCAGGAAGGGGCACTAAAAAGCAAAACTCATGGGCGGTGCCTGTGGCTCAGTGGGTAGGGTGCTGGCCCCATATACTGAGGGTGGCAGGTTCAAACCCGGCCCCAGCCAAAACTTCAAGAAAAAATAGCTGGGCATTGTGGCAGGCGCCTGTAGTCCCAGCTACTCGGGAGGCTGAGGCAAGAGAATCACCTAAGCCCAGGAGTTGGAGGTTGCTGTGAGACGCCACAGCACTCTACTGAGGGCAATAAAGTA